AGGGGCGAGGTTGTGGTTAGAACGCTTGGTTGAGTGCATCAGACGAGACGATGAAGAAGTTCATCAAAGCCGGAACTAATCGAGCCGTTTGTGCCAGGCTGGGGAGAAAGGTATTTTAATAATGTAAATTATGTGAAAAATCATGCGTTTTTCGAACCACCAAGCATGAGAGCATGTTCTAGTACACCCCCACAACAAAATCAAGACTTTGTAAAAGAGCATAATAGGACCCCTTTAAACAGTAGTATATCTGTGTGTAAACCATAACCTGAACCAGCCATGGCATCATTACGTATCACACAAATTAAAGATCTGATATGGGTTTATATATGGCTGCACCTGTTAGTAGCCTCCATCATAAAGAAAAAATATGAGCTCATCTTCTCTCTTAATGACATTCAATCAAGACCATGAACACATGCCAGACTTGTAATGGGTTTCATTTATAAGATGCGTGCCAATGAGCAGTCACACTGCTGGCCTCTGGACTATAGCAGACTGTTCTGCCCTGCAAAAGTGAAACATGGCAACGACGCCAACACTCCAACTACAGCTGTGAAGTTTTTGAGTTAAAGATAACACCATGTTCTTATGAAGACTATTTCTATGGTACATTTTATAGATGTGCAATGGTCAAAAAATATATAAAAAATACATAGAAAAACAGACTGTAAGTAATATACCGAAAGTACCTGATTGCTCGTTGCATATACTTCCACATCCTGCACACTCTGTTTGAGCCTCTTTCGTTTTGACTCAAACGTGTCTCCCTGAAAGATGTCGAGACAGGATCCATTAGAAACATTACACCAGATTTAATCATTCATGAAGTTTCATCAATTATTTTCAGGAAACTGCACCGATTAATTTGCCTAGTCTTGCTAAATCAGTGCCCCACTATCCCATGAGAAATATTGCAATCTGCAAACTAAATTTTTTACATTTTCCAAGTGATAAAATGTAAGTGGTGCTTGCCTGTGCAAAACGTACCATGCATTTGCTAAGAGCTCTGTTTTTGTAAGTTTAACTGCTTAGAAATTAGGGCCCTATGATTTCTGCGATGCAAAAAACGCGGACAGAATCAAGGAATCTGGTCATAAAAAAGGAATTTACTGTATAACGTCAAAGTGTCTGTGAATATTAAAATGCAAAAAGACTATTTGATTGTTCGATTAAATATAAGAAAACTGTCTTTGGACAGTTAGAGCAGCAGAAAGATGGAATTTAATACCTGTTTATATTAGAGAGTGTACAACATTTAGTATTTTTAAAACTACGCTTAATGTATGGCTTAAGGAAAGCCAAATATGTGATCACTGACCTGATTTTTTCAATTTTATGGAGTGTGATGTGATTGTATGTATTGTATTGTTTGGGACGGAATATTGTAATTTTGTAACAACTTCCTGCCCAGGGACTGCAGATGCAAATTAGCTTTAAAGCTAACTCTGGCACAACACTTGTGTTGTGCATTGTCCCTGTTAAATAAATGAACTAAACTATTTAAATATGAAGTCTGCATGTTCTGCATGTCTCTGTGCTAATAAGAACCACAGTTTTGTCTGGTACACTCATAAGCAAGCATATTTTTTTAAATCATTTCTTTTTAAGGAATAACCACACAATTTTTCCTCCATGTTTTAACTGTAAACCTCTGTTGTGCAGCACTTTGTTTGCTAAAAAAATAAAAGGAATTGCTTAATTTTATTTTTTTTAAATATAATGTTTTATGTCTTCATTTGATTACCACCATTTTGGTAATAAATAGATAAATCACCGAATTCGGGAAAACATAATGGAATTGGAGAAAAGATAAAACATGTTTCATTGGGCATCTCAAAATATAATTTTTGTTAAACTTTTAATAAACTTTCACAGGTTCGCACTTACGTATAATCGGATTGAGCAAATAGTAAGCATATTTGGCGTGCTGTCCTGAGGGAGGGTTCTGAGCCCGGAATATAGTCCGAAACCCGAGAACTCCCCCAGTCCCTAGTATGGAATGAGAATAATTTAAGAGTGAGGAGTTGGGGTGGAGGAGGAATGCTGGAAAACTGTCATGGGACAGAGTGGAGTTGGCTGTATTAGGGTTAGGGCATACGTATCGTGCTAGTTAAGATGATTAACTAAATGAGCTCCACCTGTGCTGAACTGGTTGATTATCTGATCATGCTCCTCCCGAACCTTGTTAATAAAACATCATGCAATTGTTAAATGTGACCCTGGACCACAAAACCAGTCATAAGGGTCAATTTTTTTTTTTAGGAGAGGACAATATTTGGCTGAGATACAACTATATGAAAATCTGGAATCTGAGGGTGCAAAAAAA